TGCTAACCTGGTCTGGCTGCTGGAATCTCCTTTCACATATTCCCTTTTTCTTTCTTTTTTTTTTTCATTTAATTTTTAAACCAGGAAGGAAGGGGCCTTCTCTCTTTAGATGCAATTCAGAAGTCTTAGGGAAGGATGTGGGGACGCTCTAGCTTATGACCACCGGGTGGGAGGGAGGCCCATTAGAGAGGTGCCATGGCCCTAGAACCACAGGTCCCCGGGGGAGGCAGGAGCAGTCACCCCAAAGAGGTGAGTTGATGTTTCCAGAAGAAGGCAAGGTGCTGGCGGATGAGGCATGCAGGGTCAGAGAAAGCCTGCGGAGCCAGTCTCAGGAGTCCGGGGGAAGCTCTGGAGAGTATGGAGCCTGGTTAGGGTGTGGTCCCGGCATCGCTTGTCATCTGGCAGGAGAGAATCTGCCTCAGCCTTGCAGTCAGAATGGCTTTTGTTTCTGTTCTACAGGCCAGAGACACTAGGGCAGCCTAGCAGCAAGGAACCAGAGGGAGGGGCCTGTGTGGCTTGTGAAATGGAATAGAGATAGTGAGTTGGGGCAGATGAGGGCTAAGGGGTTGGTGTGCTCAGCCGGCTGCAGTTTCCAGGCCCTTTGGAGAACCCGTCAATTTCAGGAAGTCATTGGCTAGTGCCAAATGGTCTCTGGAGCTCCTGGAGATCAGCAGAGCTGTGAAACGTGCACGCCCAGGCTGGTGGGTGAGGCTTCTGGCCTGGAGCAGAGACGGCGGTGGTAACCTGTGCAGGCCCAGACCAGCAGCTCCTGTGACGGGGAGCACGTGGCTTTCCCTGCAGCACTCTGCTGCCATCTGCTGGCTGGCGTCATAATAACCTCTACTGCCCCACAGGGCCAGTAAGGGCAGCTCCCGGCACACCCCTATGTGCACATACTGACTGCACGGACCAGTCTCAAGGACCTGAGAGCTCCCTGGTGACCGGGCCCCTGCCCTGTGCAAACTCCCAGTCCCCTTGGAGAAGGCGTGCCAGTCGCTGGCTCTGCCACAGCTCAGCAAGTCAGAAGCTCGGTCAAGATGCCTGGGAGGGGAGGGGCAGGATCTCCCAGAGAAATGACTGCAGAGCCCCCTGGTTCCGTCAGGGCAGTGGGACCACCATGCATATCAGGGAGTACAGGATGCATCGCAGCAGTGAGACATTATGCAACTGCAGGAGAAGCTTGGCAGAAGGATCCTGAAGGGAGAGTTAAATCACTAGCAACGCCTGGAGCCCCGCGTGGACAAGATAGAGCTTCTGGGGAATCCGTGGAGCAGCTGTATCCAGCTGGCAGACTGGGCCACAAAGAGAAGCCTGTGGAAAGACCGTGGGAAGCTGCTGGCTCCACCCAGACACTTTTGCAGTCCACGGGTGGGAATCTGGTGGTGGCCCGGGTGGCTGCTGGTCTGCAGGGTTGGTGTCGGGGGGTGGGTGGGAGGACAGGCTGAGCCCAGCAGGTACCTGTGTGTCTGCCCTTCACCATGTCTGGCCCACAGACATTCATAGGGGGATGACTGCTGCTTCATGTGTCCTCTCACACGGCTATCCTGGCACCCAAGGAAGGGGCTCTGGGGAGCAGGATGCAGCTTAACCGAGCTGATGATGGAACAGTCCTACACAGCAACCTCTCAGAGCCTCCTGAGCATTGCACACAAGCGATGGTTACTTTAGAAAGTGTGTCCTGAGAATTGGATCGATGACATGGCCACATCACACGCAGGTGGCATTGTCTCATAGTGCTGGGGCTCGAGGGATTTGGGGCTGATCAAGGGCAAAGCTGTGACATGAGAGGCACAACACACAGCAAGCTTGAAGGTCCCTCACTGCATGGAACCCTCCAGAGGCTGCAGAGTGGGGGGAGGG